CAAAGTGAATGTTTTTTGAGTAATACAAGGAATGGTTTGTTAGTGTTGGATTTGTGTCATGAAGAAACATGTTTTTTGTTTTTTGTATATAAGTATGTTTACCATCAATGTAATGCTCAGGCAAGTTCTGATTTTATCACATATCAATAACATTTATTTTTTTTAATGAGAGCTAAGAGTCTTTCCCTTGGTGTTTTGGTTTTTGTTTTAATTTATGGCATGCTGTATTGAAGCTTAATTAAACTTTGTTAACTTTCTAAAATCCAGCCTGGGAATGATGCTTAATATTCAAGTAGCTGAAATAATAGTTTTGAAGCAATTTGTTGTGGCTGACTGTTAGTTCATTTTAATTTTCTGTTCCTTTCATATGGTGGCAAAATATCCATGTCTTCCGCAAAGTTTCCTTATTAAGAATCTGTTGTCATATCCACCTTAGGTGGAATTCACATGGTTTATGCTTCCACTTCGTGCTAAGTCATGAAAAAGAACAGTCGGGCCTGCTGGGTTCCTCCTGCCAGCAAGAATGGTTAAGCCATAGTTGCTTTCCCCTGGTTTGTTCAGTAGGATAGATTAACTGGGGGTTCTGGCCGGCTCCTCTTCTAGCAAGTCAGGATTGGAAGCTGAAGACAAACTAACTTCCAACTGTGGCTTGTTAAAGAGTGAGTCAGATTCAAGGATATTGAACCCCATGTTAAGAATCCACCAAAGATTCACCAAATCCCAGAGGAAGCCCCTGTCAGGGCAGTGCCCACGTTTGCCTCCAGAAATCAAGGGCTGCAGTATTTTCCTTCATAGAGGCTTTTCATGCCTGTTTGACAGGATATTTGGAAGAGCAGCAATAATTTAATTTAGTTTAATTTAATTTAATTTAATTTAATTAACTCAATTTGATATGGGTGCCCACTCCAAAAGACTCTGGGTGGCTTACAAAATCCACGAAAAACAGTAAAAACAGTTAAAATAAGATGATGGTAATTGCCATGTATTATTTTTAAAGGTTTTTCCCAATTATTTTTAGGTTACATGAAGAGCCTCTTCCTTTTTCTCTTTGTGTCAACAATCTATTCTTCACTGCTCCCTGACTTCTGTTTTCTGTGATCAAGTTCAGAAACAGAATTCCCTATTTTTTTCTCCCTGCAGAGCATTTATATGTCTCTGTCATGTTCGTTTTTATTCATCTACTTCTGGCATTCTCTTCTAAATTAATCCAAATGAGAAAACTTCTCCATGAGTAAACTGGGGATAAGAAGATACCCAGCAGCTATTCTCAGAAGCATGCCCTCCAGATATATTGGATGGAGCACACTCCAGTTACCCCACCAATTATGACAGTGATGGGAATTGTAGTCCAGCTCGCCTGGAAACCCTGCCATCATGGAGAAGCTGATACTCAGCTTTATAGTCTGTAGTAGAGTAATCTCTCTTCTTTTCTTTAGATTATCTTGATAATGGCAATAATAAAATGGCAATCCAGCAAGCAGACAAACTGCTAAAAAAACACAAAGATCTTCACTGTGCTAAGGTGAGCTCACAGTTCGTTTATCTGGTTAAACTGTCTTTGTCTTAAATCTTGAATAAGCAAGGGCCAGAGTCTGCTTTTTGCCTGTTGTCTTCCTAGAAAGGGTTGGGCTGGGTTGGGTTGGACAACCACCGCTGTGACCTTATACCTGCCCCTTTGGAGAAGAGACCTCTTCTGTCACACGCAGCTTCTGGAAGGAAGCGGGAGAACTGCTGGCATGTTTGTGTTTTGAAGTCATCCTTTGCTGGCAGTTTTTTTTCTCCTCTGCAACATAACCTTTGTTACTCCTGGTTTTCCCCTCTCCGGTGAGATCCCCTTTGCCAGGTTGATCACAAGCCCCAGTTTGTTGAAGTAATTCTTCAACGTTTTTGTCCACCTCAACATGGCTCAGCAGACTAAGGTAATTAGAGTTGGTCAATTGATTGAATCCAGTGTAGTTAAATGTTACCAAAGGATGGACAACAGTGCTTTTAAATACTCATGTGTTAAAAATAGTAGCTGAGAGAGATTATGGAACAACAATCATAATCCAAGCTTTTGAGGCAAAGGAACAAATTGAGTGCATTTCCAACCAGTTTATGCCTGAGAATTATGGAGACTGTAGTCACATCTGGAGATTGGACTACAGGTTGAAGAAGGCTGCTTTTTATTCTCCTTGAAGGACATGTCTCTTTGGAGGCAGGCAGAGCACGATAGGCAACTGGTTGTGGGCTGACTGCTACTCCATGGATGGGGCATATAATGATGAACTAGAGTGAGGGGAACATTGGAAATTGGCCAATGAGTCATTCTATCTGCACCAGTTCCTAGCAGCTGTTCTGAGTTTAAGCCGTATCCTTTCTCCATCTTGTTCTGGATGTCAGGGACTCACCTTGTCACCTATTGTGTGCAACACAGGTGTTCAGCTACTGAGATTCAGTATTTGACCCACTAAACCGTTTCTTCCATCGCTCATTCTAAGGATGGAATTTTCACTACTATCCTTCCAGCGGGTAGCTACTGAAAAGCCTCTTAAAATATTCTTTGATCTGCGTGCAGGTTTTGAAAGCAATTGGTCTGCAGAGAACTGGGAGACAAGATGAAGCATTTACTTTGGCACAAGAAGTGGCAGCCCTTGAACCCACGGATGATAATTCGTTGCAGGCGCTGACTATCCTTTATCGAGAAATGCATCGGCGTAAGTTTCCCAGCTATCTTTACCCCTTTACATTTTGGAACAATTTTTATTTTTATAGAAGTCTGTCCCTCCTTCCAATGCATATGCATCGCATCGGCCCTTCTTCAATGTAGTGAAGAAAGGATCGTCTCAAAAATGACCACAGACCGTGTTTTGCCAGGATTCTAGTTATAACCCTCTTCTACTTTTAATGAAGATGAAGGAAATATTTCTTTTGCATTCTTTTGAATCAGGTTGTAGAATGTATTGGAGTGGGGGGAAGCAGAAGCAGCTTCTGAATTGATGGCTCTGTTTTGTTTTGTTTTTTGTTTTTTAACTTGGCCCTGGCAGGATTTCCTAGTGTTGGTCATAATGCCAGGCATCTAGGCCAGGGAACCATTTTCATACACACCTCATTTTATTGCTCCAAAACATTCTGGGGAATTAAAATGTAGCTAAACCTGAACCCTCAGACTGCCAGCTGAGAGTAGATATTGAAGTCCTCTGATTGTTGGGGTCACAGCAGCTGTCGTGGATGTCAAGCCCTGGTGCCATCGTAAAGAAGAGGGGAGAAGTTCTCAAGGTGCATTCTGAGGAAATTAACGGTGCTGAATCTTTTAGTCCTGTGCTCAGGACAGTTCCCTAGGATTGGGAAAAGGCTCTAAGCCTTAATCTGCATACCTTTAATGCTTACGATATCTGATTTTAGCGGAGCTGGTCACAAAACTCTACGAGGCAGCCGTGAAGAAGGTTCCCAACAGCGAAGAATATCACTCGCATCTGTTCATGGCTTACGCAAGAGTTGGAGAATATAAGAAGATGCAGCAGGTACTTGCCTGCGTCACAGACGGGTTTCTCTCTCTGGGAAGGAACATTCTCCCCCTCTTCCAAGGATGCCAGGGAGGGGAGGGCAGGCTTCTCCGCAGAGAAGCCATTTGGGGCTGGCCATTTGGGGCTGGAAATGAAAAAAGGTTGTGCTCTATTAGCCAGAGGAATCGCTGAGGCTCCTGAGCAGGCTTGCTTCTTTTGAAAGAAATTAATATGACATCAGGGAGTTTCAGGTTACGATATAGTTTGATTGCTGCTTCCTGTTCCCTCTTAAAGCAAATACGCTAAGTGGCAGCTGGTGCCAGGCCAAAGAAGGCATGAGAGGTAGGGAGTGGCAGCGTCTGCGTCGCGGTCCTGCTGTCAGCCTGTAACAGAAGCGAGCTTCTGCGTGCTTCTCCATCGTTCTTTCCTCCCTCTCGGCATACCTGTCGAAATAGCAGTCCAAAGACTCTTCTTAGAGGTCACCATTTGCTAGAATATTGTAGCTTCTGACCAACTGGTTGTTTTCTGTGAAGCACCTTGTCACCTTTATTTGCTTTCTTCTTTCCAGGCTGGAATGGCACTTTATAAGATTGTCCCTAAAAACCCGTACTACTTTTGGTCCGTAATGAGCTTAATAATGCAGGTGGGTACCACATTTCAAAGGAGAGCATATCATCTTTGGAATCACTTGCCTTTCCAACTAAAACATGTGGAAGTGCTAAGTAGATGTTACAGATGGATCATATATGCTGCAAGTACAGGATGTGATACTGTGGCACAGCCTTTCCTAACTGGGCGTCCGCCAGATCTATAGAGAGCATGTGGTTGGGGGTATAGCTCCCAGAACATCAGGTTGGGAGTGGGCTACATTAGATCTTGTTTCCATAGTGCAACCAGATTGAGATATTGGATGATGATGTGTTGTGAAATGATAACTTCTCTGTAGTGGGAAATGCAGGGGTCTTCTGCAGATCCCTAAATTTTCATTTGAGTCATATATAAGCTAATCCCCCACCGCAGAGATAATTGCTGCTACGTGCAGCCCATTCTGAGGTTAAGAAAAGGAAAGAAGTAGTTCACGGCTTTCCTCTCTTCCTCTGAACGTCTGAATTCTGGAATTGGTGCTTGAGATTAATACGTAAGCTTGAGGATTTGTCAGGAAACTCGGATCCTTTGAGAGGCTGTGGGTAAAGCATAATAGTTTATTGTCGCTTGAGGCAATCAGGAAGGCTGGATGGCTGGGTTCATACGCCATGTTGCTAATTTATTTTACGGACTTGCCGATCCATTGTATTTGTGGCACGTCAGCATCGGCTGAGCATCTGTTGGGGTCAGGTGCCTGGCACCTTTCTTCTGGAATAATGAGCATAAAAATGCAGCAGGTCAGCTGATGGCTCATTCTTGTTGGAATGTTCGCCCCTTCTTAACATTTTTGATTGGGCCTGTTGTCAATTGGAAAGAAATGTGTGATTTGCCTTGTTTTCTCCAGCTCATCTAGAGAAAAACTAGAAACGAATGGTGCTGTGTTAGACAGACAGTGGGCTGGTTCTATATATGGCAGTTCTATGTGTTCTTTTCTTGCAGTCAATATCTGCGCAGGATGAAAAGCTCTCAAAAACCATGTTTTTACCCCTAGCTGAAAGGATGGTAGAAAAAATGGTGAAAGAAGATAAAATTGAAGCTGAAGCAGAAGTAAGGCTTTTTCCAATTCTATATAAGCTCAACGTCATTTGTAATAAAATGATTTCAGTTTATGATATGATTTACCAGTCCAAGCAGTATCTGTCCCCTTGTTACGGAATACGAGGGCAGCACTGAAGATAAATTAGTGGACCTAATTGTGGCAGGTCACTTTCTCTCCTTTTGACTTCTCTCTTCCTATTGCTCTCAACGTCTACTAGGTTGAACTTTACTACATGATTCTAGAACGTTTGGAGAAATACCAAGAAGCTCTGGACGTTGTCAGAGGAAAATTAGGAGGTAAAATTTCCCAGTGCCTGTGTTAAAAAGAAGTAATCTGTTACACAGAGGGTTGTCTGCAGTTTACTGTTGCATCAGTTTGCAAGACTATGTGCTTTTATCACGGCTTCACCCACAAATGTGTGTCCACGCCAGACATTTTGCATCTTGGGTTATATAAGGCGACCTTGAAAATAGACCCAGAAAACTTTGCCTGGCTCCCTGTGGTCTAATTTTTGCGGTATGAAGGGAGATTTTGTTTCTGACATTGACATGTTCATTGTGTGAATTTGCATTTTGTGTGTTTGTGTGTGTGTGTTATATTTAGACAAGTTAACCAGCGCGCTCCAGAGCAGAGAAAATAAGTGCATGGAGATGTACAGAAAACTGGGCAAGTGGCCAGAGTGCAATGCGCTCTCAAGAAAACTTCTGCTTAAAAAGTAAGGAAATATAGAAGGGGCCTCTGTGCCATTGCTCCACCCTTACCATGGATAGCCTTTGTGCATCCTCAAGGTTGCCATGACATGCCCAAGGGTAGCAAATACATTAGGTGGCACCCAAGAGGAATCTTTTCTTTTTGTTCTTCACTTAGAACTTTTTTTCCTTTCAAATTACAGATGTCCATCTTATTAAATAGAACTGCTTATCCTAACTTTCCCTGCACATCACTTCAAAACAGCTCCCTGTTCTCTGAATTGCACCCATCACCCAACCTAATGCTTTGTTAGCAACCTTTTCCCTAACTTACCTTTACCCTTTAAAAGGTTCCCTAATTTGCACACCCCATCAAACCATGTGGTTTATTTTTGTGACTGACAGACCAGCTGTGCTATACCTCTGTCCATTTGCTTGTTCTTCACAGCAAATTGGGGGTGGGGAGACCCTTTGCCTTTCTTTCAGGAAATTGTTTTGATTTCTCTCACTGGTATATCCATCCTGAATGCTAACAAAAGGCACTGCAAGAAAGAAGGCGTTCTCTGCTGCATTTCAGCTCTTTTCTTTCCCTCGTTTTTCTGATTTAGCCCAGATGACTGGCAGTTCTACATGATCTACTTTGATTCCCTCTTTCAATTGATCGGCATGGCCTGGACGCCTCCAGCTGAAGGGGAGCAGTGAGTATCCTCCTCTTTGAGGGCTTTGAGAGGTTCTGTTTCTTTATAAAGAGAAAGGAGGGAGCAGATTCATGTCCTGGAGCTGCACAAATCAGAAAGAGGAAATATGTTGCTTTGCGCACCATATTGGCCTTGAA